TACTACACTAATTACAAAACTTAATTAGGATACTTGACTGTGATTACTTCAGATACAGTTCCTGGATAACACAGTGTTTGCTGTACTTCACATTAAAAAGGCTCCAAGGAGACTGGAAACAAATATTGACTGTGAATCAATGAGTTCTTGTAATATAGACTAAATACTATTTCAAGATACTTGGGCTTTTCCTATGAGGTAAATGCAGTAAGCATCCAAGGGAAAGTACAAGCACTGGCCACAGTTTCCATCCATTGTTAAATATTCCTGCAGTGTTCTCCAGAAGCTCAGTTCCAGATCTACCAAAAATTGCTTTAACAAAACAACAGCAAAACCTGAAAAACACAGAAACACACACATACACACAAAAAAATCCCCACCAAACTCCCCAAAGAAACAAAACAAAACCAAAACAAACCAAAACCATCTCTTTTAAAAGAGTAATAAAAATGAAACACCCCTGTTTTCTTTGTTTCAATTTCTTAATTATCTTTGTAGGAAGTTTTCCAGACTATAAATTACTTCTGAAATTTTTTGTTTGGTGTTTTCAGGTGAACATAAACAATTGATATTTACCTTGTGCTAAGCAGAACAAGCAAACTCCAAACAAAACTAAAATTATATTATGACAGATTTTGGAGCTGTGACAGTGACTTCCTTAGAAACACTAAGGAAACATGAAGCTGAAACAGGAGGTCAGCTCAGACATCTGAGCTGCAGCCCAGAACATAACTTCAGATAATGATTCATCAGCTGTTAGTTGCTTTAAAGTAGCTTGCTATTTTTAGTCTGTCTAAGGATAAAAGAGACATTTTTCTTAGCAATATTTATTTGGAAAGGTCTATTATATTCTGAAAAATGTGGAACAGAATGGACAATTCTGGAGAACATAAGTATCTGCATCACTGTGAAGCTGTTCTCCATAAAAGTTCTACCTGAAAAGCAGCTTCTTTTACAAACCAATATAAAAATAAGCTGTTGGTAATGCCCATACAGGCACTTATGGGATGGACTTGATGATCCTTGGGTCCCTTCCAATTCAGAATGAATGTGATACTGTGAAAAGTGGATGGGAAATAGATCCCCAAAAGACAGAGGAACAACAGAAAAGCTAAGCTGAAACAAAGACAACTCTCTACACCTTTTACAACTCCAGACCTGAAGTTCAGCTGAGGATGAATCTCAAAAATGAGTATTTATCCTTTGAAGGACAAGGTTATTTATGTTGAGAAATATGACTGTACTGAGACAAGGGTCATGAAGTTAAAACAGACAGCCTTTGGTAACATCTTTGCTTCCTCACTTTGATGTCCTACAACCCAAATAAACACTGTACACATGGAAAGAAAAGGTACATATCCATGAATCTTTTTCATCTAAATTCTAATTTACAAACCTGGTAAACATCTTAACAATGTAACTATCACAACCAATGAACTATAGAAGGTGGCATTTCCAGGAAATTTCCAAATTACCCAAAAGTCTCAAACTTTAAAGTGGTGTGACTTGACACAAATAAATATCTCACAGGTATTTTGGATTAGCAGTGTTAAATAGCTAAAATATTCTTGGTGAGTAGAAGCCCCACAGAACCTCTGAAATTTCTTAGTGGGGTTTTCTTACAATCCATTTACTGTGTCTGCACTGAGGGCACCATAGAATCACACACTTCCTTTTGTAATTAAGTATTTGTAAAGATTTCTAAATAGATATTTGTGGTTTCTGTTGCCAGATGAGAAGGGGAATATTGACTATAAAACAAGACAGTAGGGCTGGAGCAGATAAAAGTAGCCAGATGACAAATGGTTCTATACAATTAAATTAGGATAAAACTGATGCCTAGATACTACTCATAACAAAACTCTTCTGCAGTGCTCCTTCACTGAAGCCCACGAGCAGTCAGGATTTTTGACAGTGCAAATGCAAGTCTTGGGAATTTCTGGATGCAGCTTTTCAAAAAATTCAACTTTAATTAGTATTAAAAGAAATCTTAGCTCTACTTAACACAGTGCAATTTTATTCCATTTCATGTCACATTAGCTTTCCTGGATGCTAAAATGCATTTGCTGCCATCAATCTCCCTAATGGAGGTCTCCAATAAAGCAAAAAAGATAACAAATGAAGTTATTAATTCTTCCTGTGGAGAAGCAAGACTTTATTTAAATCCTTGCAAGTGGCAAAGGAGCACACACAGCATAGTAAAAAACCGCAAATTTGGACGGGAAAAATTCTATTAGTTGGCTAAAAAAATAAATAAAGTAAAATAAATAAATACAGTAAATAAAATACACATTTGAAATCCTTAGCTGAATCTTTCTTTAAACGTGTTTTAAACATTTTTGGTGCACAGCCTTGCCAGAATGTGCAAGGCTGTGCACCAAAAATGTGCCTGTGCACCATTTGCTTTGTGGAACAAAACTTTTTGCTCAGCTGAAGCACAGCCCATTTTTTGCTCTTGTTGCAGTACACAAAATTAATCCCCTCCTGCCATCTAGTGGCTAAATAAAAATCCGGCTGGCACATTTAATCCGTTTTTCTCACCAACATTAGCTAAGTATTAGCACTTTTCCAAAGAGAAGAAACATGTAGAAGATAATTCCCCTGAATTGTTGAGATGTCAGAAGAATCTGACCATCCTGGTTTGTTCTGAGCCTCGTGGCCTCCTTGGCCTCACAGATTTCTCAGAGAAAAATAAACTGCAGTGAGTAAGATTTTAATTTACTTCTAGCTACTGCTGTGACAGGGCAGATCTCCAGCCACAGCCAGAGAGTGGCAAATTGGAGATGTGAAGCTCCTGGAAACAGCTGGTCTGTCTGCACAGCTTTCAATTTGGCTTCTCACTGCTCTGTTCTCTCAAATTAAAATTAATGTGCTCATGTAACATCACAAGTTCCTTGTTTTCCTATTATGTTACGCAATAGTACACGAAATGCAGTGAAGAATTTAATTTAGAGAAGTGCACAACTGGTAAAAGACTGGGTGGATTTTATCCCTGATAAAATTGTAGTCACTCCAAAGCTTTCTGGACACCTTATTAAAGATGTATTTCTTCATGTTGCCAAAATGAAGCTTTGGCAATCAGGACAGAGAGCCCCACTGGTTCAAGTACAAATACATCTAGCCTGGTACCTGGTACTGACTAGGAATGAGTCTGAAGAAAGCAAACAAAAGAAATTGGATACAGAATATCCTCACAGAGATGTGACTTAGGAACATCTTCACCAAAGATGCTAACATCTGGAATTTTATTCCAGACACAGCTAATCTCTTCTGAATTTACCTAAAATCTTGACATATGCGTATCCCCTGGCTGCAGTGACATTTTGCACTATGTTAAAATTATATATTAACACTTGTTTTAAACCTACTACATAACTTTTCATTGCATGTCCCCAAAATTCCCTGTGAGGCACAAAGACTGATCATTCTCTCTTCACTTCCTCCTTTATCACAATCATAGTTTAGATCAGATCCCATTTTCCTTTATCCTCTCACATTCCTCCCCATCTTCCTTCAGACCAAAGGCTTTTAGTTTCTGTAGGACAAAGACAAATAACTTAATTGTTAAGCATCTCATTCCTCTTTAAGAAATCACTACTTTCTTCAAGAAACTCTGTTGGATTTCTCAAAAGAATTTTTTCCTACAAAATCTAAGTTGAATTCTCTCAATTGCCTCATACTTAATCTGAGCAATTTTTTACTTCTAAAGAGAAGTGTTGCAAATTGCATCTTCAAGGAGTTCCCAAAAGATGAATGCCTCAAACTGATGAATAGCCAAATTATTTGAAAAATTTCTTATGGAAAAAAGTCATAGAAATGCTGATTATTGCCTTTTCTTTGGCAATTATTAACTTTGAGTTGCATAATTTAGTAATAGTATTAGCATATCACCTCTTATAAAGAACACCAAATCAAATATCAAAATACACATTTTATAAAGTTGAAAAGAAACCTTTGAAAAAATATTTGATAAGATTTAGAAACAAATGTTACATTTGTCTATTTGTTACAATTAATAATACACATACACATCATGAAACATATTTGAGGAATGATAAAATGAGACAAAGTACAGTGATTTGCTTAACAGCACACCAAAAGTCTTCCAAAACTAAAGCATCTTCACTTCTCTCACAAATTTGTTACCCCCATTAAACTCATAGAATAAACAGCAAAAATAAAAGTATATTAGCCATGTACTCTCTGAATTACACTGCTCACTTTAATGTAAATTTCCAATATTAAAAACTCAAAACCTCTCTGTAAATGCATTAGACTTTGCATCAAATATCTCTTGCAAAATCTCACCAAATCCAACATGAAGTAACCATTTGCTGACATTCAACAGTATTTATAAACTTTGCACGTTCATTTTTCACTTTTTGCATTTCCAATCATATTTATCCAGTGTTTTCAGGAGTACAGACAAGCAGTAAATAGTTCTTGCTTCCCACTGGTTTAATGAAAGCAAGCTTATGCTTCAGTGACACTGCTATGCTTTAAAATGAAAGGCTTTTAATGTGTTCTGTAAGAGGTTTCATCTCTAGACTTGGTGAGGCTACAGCCTAGATGGCACATCCAGGCTTTAAAGTAACTTAGACAGCCAGCAGGGGATTCCAGTGATGCTGGAGATTAGCTGAGCTGAGTGCAGTAAAATAGATAATTAATGGCATATTCAATTCCCAGCTCCACCAAAGGTCAATGTTTAAGATGTGGGGCTGTAATTGATGCTAAATTAACTTGGTGGTCTCTTAGCTGCCAAATAAAACTTATGGGAGATATTATAGGTTTCCCTATAGAGGATATTACAAAGAAATGCTTTAAGGTACAGACAAGATACATTAAATTCATACAACATAAACCATCTTTCCATCCAGGCCATCAATAACATTGTGGACGTGGCAAACTGAACACCAAATCAAGCCTTTTTATGTTTCTTTGATTAAAAGGGCGCCATGGCAGCTGATACAAGAAGAATAGGAGTACATGTAGGAACTTACTTTCCAAAAAGTGAGACCCTGCTGCTTCTGTCTGGCCTTGCATCAACTACATCACAGCCATTTTCATCCTCTCCGGCAGGGAGATCACCACGCTGATCCTCTGACATCTACAAGAAAATACAGGAATGTAAGTGTCCCTCAGCGAGCACTGACATTTTAGAAATACTTCTGTGAACCAGACTGTTTATTGTCTGGTTTACAGAAGATACACGTGAGGGTTTTAGTCAGTTTTGTTGTACAATACTTCCTGGAGAAAGAGTGGCTACGCATTTCTGGTCCTAAATTGGTGTGGCATTGCACATGTTCAGTCATCTCTATTTTCTTGTACCAGTTACCAAAAGGAACTCAACTAACATCACTCTCAAAAGTGCACATTACAGCAAATCAAAAATAATTCTATGGTGAAAGATCACAGAATATAGAATACAATCATAAAATAGAATATTCTGAGTTGTAAAGGACGCCCTGGGATCATCAAAGTCCAGCAGCTGGTAATCCCAAGTACCCTGCCATGTGCTGCTGTGAGCTGTCCCCATCACACAAGTAATTCCCAGATCGTTTCCCATGGTCTGGAAAGAAGCATGTTGGGATGAAAGCAAGGGCTCCAGTGTTTTCATTTGCATATACATAGTCAGATGCGTGTAAGTGAAAGAGTCCTGTGTGTTTCCTGTGGGTGGTTTCAATTTCATCATTAAGCAATGGGGAAACCACAGCAGAAGGAGCAGCGCCAGCTCAGCAGAGGCACAGGGCACACGCAGGACCTCTGCTCAGGGTGGGATGGACTGAAACATCTGGTCTCTGCTTCCAGACTTTCATCAGAAATTCAGCACCGATTCCTGCCCTTTTCCCATAGTTTGGCAGATTAAATTCGCTTTTATCAGCCATTTACTGAGAAGAGCACACGTTTACATGGAAAGCCACCCCAGTAGCAGCAGCCCAGAGCCCACCAGAAGCTCCATGGCCACATCACCCAGCCAGGGAGCAGGGCATTGGCAGAGCTTTGGGAGCTCCCCCAGAGCAAGAGCAGCTCCCAAATCCGTGTCCAGCCTCGGCTTTGGCAAACACACACACACGCCCACCCACACACCCACCCACACCCACCCACACATACACCCACACCCACACACAGAGCAACCGGAGCGTGCAGGCCGCGGTGCCGGGAGCGGTGCGGGGCCCGCCCGGGCAGCGAGGAGCGGGCACCGAGGGGAGGAGAGCGGGGCAGGGGCCGGGCAGCGGGGCCGGGGGGAGCCAGGGGCAGGGGAAGGGCCGGGAAGGGCCCAGGACTTGCCGTGGTGCTGGGTCCGGCCGAGCGGGAGCGAAAGCGAAACTTAAAGCAACGCTTAAAGCGAAAGAGGCCGGCGGTGCTCCCGGGGAGGCGCCGGGGCGGGGCGGGCTCCCTCCCTGACCCTTGTCACCATCCCTGACCCTTTTCTCGTCCCCATCCCTGACCCTTGTACCGGTCCCCATCCCTGACCCTTGTACCGGTCTCCACCCCTGACCCTTTTCCCGTCCCCATTTCTGACCCTTCTCCCATCCCCATCCCTGTCCCCATCCCTTTCCCCATCCCTTTCCCCATCCCTGTCCCCATCTGTCCCCACCCAGACCCCGGGCCCTCCCTGCTGCCCAGGTAATGACGGCCCCATCACAGCAAAACCGAAATTATCACTTTTTAATAGCTGTGCTCTGGCACACCCCCGCCAAAGAAGAGTCGAAAGTTTCATGGTGACACGAGGTTGTCTAGATCTAAGGAAATTTTCCCCCTTATATAAACTTCAGTGGCATTTCCTTATCCTCCCAATTATTGTGCGTGTTGCATCTCTGCTAATTACGGTATCCCACTGTGCAGCCCTAGCATCAGGCCCAGCGGTCCAGTACATGGACTGAAGATTGGCACAGTCTTGCTAATTACTCCTGGATGCAGGCTCCAATCCTGCAAAATCATACACCTACCCAGCGGTGCTTGGTGTTTAACATTCACTACCTGAAGAGATTTACATCAAAGAGACATTTTTCAGTGTAACTGCCTCCTAATTGGCACAAAACACAGGCATGGTAACAAACAGGCTTTGGCTCCCCGACAGGTCAGTGCCTCCATGTGATGGAGGAGCTCTTGCCGTGTGCCTGCACGCTGCTGCTGGGACTGCTCCCTGCTCCCTGCTCCCTGGGATTGTGCCTGTGGCTCCTGGCTGGGTGTGTAGCCAAAGTTTTCTCCTGAAAATCAAACTAGCAGAATCCCATGTTCCTCTTATGCCATCTGTTAGCTGCTTCTTTTCGAGGGGACAGCGTCACTTCCAAATCCATAATGGATCACCATGGGCAGCAGGGACACTGGAAATGTACAGATCATGATGTAGAGATCAAATGTATAGAGAGGAGAGGAGAGGAGAGGAGAGGAGAGGAGAGGAGAGGAGAGGAGAGGAGAGACTCTGTAATCACCAGCAGTGACTGCCAATGGCACCTGAAATTCAGAACATGCAAATATGCTTTTCTGATTATATGTATGATTTTTACCCAGGAAATACAGAAACTGTTTGCTTCTATATCTTCATGAAGATGAAGATCTTCATCTTCTTTATCCATTGCCATCTGGTCACCACAGCAAAAGTAGCCGACCTAGAAATGGCTTTTTTCTAAACATCATTGTATTGCTATCAAAAAAGTGGTCTGATAATGCTTGCCAAGTTTCAAGAGTTTACTATTAGAATTGGTTGTGGGGAATTTCTCAAACTCAAACTGTTTTCTTTCGATTTTCTTTTTATTTTCTATATTTCTATTTTCACGTTGGGTTCTGGCCTTCACAAAGAGAAAGTTTGATTCCGCAGTGTGCTGCAATACCTTTCTTAAATACATCTTAATTTTAATGCAGTACAATGTGCTAGACTTCTTTTTCAGAAAATCTTTCTTGTTTTCAGTATAGAGTAAGGGGAAAGTAAAAAATATAATAGAAATACAAGGAAGTATCTTGCTTCAGGGCATGGAGTGATTGCCACCTGGGAAAGGGTCAGAAAGGGAAAAGAATTCTCGTGTAGAGTATGACACAGCTGGCTGTGTGCATTATTGGGCAGGGGAAAGAGCCAGCAATATGATACCTATAGCATCACCATTCATCTCCTTTGCCCTGGAGACTCAGCCTCCTCCTTGAAAACATTTATAATGGAGCTTTTGACTGGATATTTACATTGAGGAAAATAAGTGTTTAACCAGTGCATGCAGCTGCAGGATGAAAATGGGGTGTGCCTTTGGGAAACTGGAAGGTGAATGGAAGGTACAAACCAGAAGGCTTGAGGCTACTGCACAGTACCTGTCTGGAATAACAGCTGTGTCCTGTGTTCTCACAACAGCTGTGAATACTAGGATGGGCTTTTGTGGGACCTGGGAGGTTGCGGATGCTTTTAGGATGGAGGGTTTGAGTGACTCACAGTGTGTTCCCTTCCAAACAACGGTTGTTAGATTTTCCTGTGTTTTGCAAGGAAGGATGGCTGGTTTTGGTATTCTGTGAGGAATATGGGGGTAGGGAAGAGTGATTGGGCACACTGCAACTTTGTGGAATTCTGCAGAGTAATACACCTCAGCTTGATGGATGTGTTTTGTTGGGATTTCTCTGTAATCAGGCAGAGATGGGAGTAATGCACATGCCATATTTTGTGAGTTTTAAACTTGAGTCTTATTTGTGTTATGATACACGACAAATGGACATATTTGGACACTGGTGGTGATGTGGGCTGTGCTCTACATGTTTTTCACACTTTTCTTCAAGCTTTTAGCTTAGATTGTAGCACATCCTGACCCATTCTTTTTCTGCTCTGTAACAGTGATATCTTAGCCCCTTTGCTCTTTTTTTGATTTCTCTCTTACTTTATCTCACTCTGTTAGAAGCATTTGCAAAATCCCTACATTCTCAGGTTTTCCTGACACTGGCAACAAGGGGAAAGTGTAAGCATGAACTTTTTAATCATGAAATATAAACAGTTGTTGGTTGGTTTCCAAAAAATGAAAAAAGCAGCTGTATAAGTTTGGAAGGTTCTTTAGAAGCTTTTATTCAAGTCTTGTGAGATTTTGGAGTTGATAAATCTTTTCCAGTTCTCTTTCAATGTTTTTCCAAGCTGTATTTCCCACCATGCTAAATTTGATTAGCATGGAGAGACTGTATGAGGCAAAAGGCCCTGAGCCCAGGTAAGTAATTAACCACAGCATTCAGAGAAGGGGAACATAGACAAGGCTGGTTGAGTGCTTGAAATTTTACAGGCAGCTTTTACCAGTGGATAAAACTCCCATTTTTTGTAGTAAACCAGCATCTCTGGGATATTTTTGCAAACAGACGGAAGATGGGGTTGTCATAATTTGTGATGTTTGGCTTCCTGTCCTTCATGTGGTTGGAAGGGCACAGCTTCAATTCAGGAATGACAGAGGAGGTGACCCTGACTTGAATGTCTCTTGAGAGGTTACTTTGTGTGACTAATATGTGCTTTTTTACAATCAGATTGAGGATGCAGACATGCTTCAAGTTCTCTGCACAGTTAATTCAATGAATTTAAGGAGGCTGGAGAGGTAACAATGTTTCTTCCCACTAATTTGCACTTTCAAGGTACTGTCTCCTTGTACTTTATGTGTAACCACAGTACTTTTAAACCACATTGATTAAGGTTCTACTGTTAAGTAAAGCCTTTCAAGATTTTCATTGATATCAAAAAGCCTTTATGAGGCCTTACTAAAGGAGGAAAAAAGCCACAATGAGCTTTTAACTGAAGAGAAAATGTCTTGCTAAGATTTGTCAAGATAACAAACTTGCACTGGTTTTGTGATTTAATTCCTTGCATGATCAAAATGCAGCGTGTACTTTGTAATGAGACCATTCAATGTTTACTTTTTAATAAACTCCCTTTTTTGTTAGCAACTTGGCTTTAATCCCGGGTGGTGAAGAACAAGACAGCTTTGGGGTCCTCAGGAATGGGAAAATCTTGAAGAGACTCCAGCAGAACTGGTGCACAATGGATGTGAGAGAAGTAGTGTGGCTGGGAAAGACAGTAGCTGTGTGTTACCATACTTCTCTTGAACATGCTGTGACTTGGGAGAAGCAGGAGAACTTGGAAAATGCATTTACTGACTTCCAGACAAGCTGGTAGTATCTGTCACTGTGAAAAGAGAAAAATGGGCTTTGTATGTCTTGAAATGAAGTAGGATTTATCTGTGAAATAAAGGGCCTTATTTGTTCCTTCCTCTTGGAAGGAGCACACAGTCTCATTGCCTTTGGGGATGGCTGTGTGCTCTGTGGGTACACAGTGCATAGAGACAGCATGATCATCCATGCTGGAGTCCTCTCCAGGTGATCAGTGTCCAGGTGACTCCTGGATTAATTATTTGTTCTGTAATTGCCAAGTCTTCACAGTTTGGTGTGGTTCATGGGTGTCCTGTTTTCACCACTTCTCTGAGCTCATTTCAGGAGGGTCTTAAGCAATGCAGGGCCAGGAGCAGGTCATGCACCCTTATTCTTGCTAAAGTGGGAGACAAGGGCTCCAAATGGGCTTCAGACAGCATGGAGACCTCTGGGACTGTCTAGAAAATACACAGTGTGATGACTCTTGGAGTGGAACACAAAGAGGTGACAACTGGTATTGTGCCAAGTGCTAAGTGAGGAGGAGACAGCCTGGCCACTGTGACCCTAATACAGGTCACTTGCATAAACAGAATGACAATCTGGGACAAGATGCAAAGCTGTGTGAGAAGGGAACTGGAAGCCTTCCAAATTACTTTGGTTCATGGGAGTGAGTGAGATAAATATTATTGTGATGTAATATTATTGTCGACATAAATCTCTCTTGATCTCAAAGAGAATAACATAAGGTAACACAGCAGTTATTTTAGTATAAGAAATTATGTTCTGGGGACATTTTTAAAAAATGAAAATGCATCTGTTTATATACTGATATTAGTTACTTTGAAAGGCCTTAAGTGTTTTCAGGACTTAGTGCCACTGCTCTTTAGATTAGAGACTCTATTTTCAGCACACCAGTTGCTGACAGGACATTGTGCCAGTACATTGTCAGCATTCAGTAAAAGTAGCAATAATAAGTTAGGCAGAACTGCATCTCTCAATAGAGAGATGAATAGGAGGCTCTCTAAGCATACCCAGAAGGTTTAGACAGAAACTATTTTGATGGAATTGTTTGCAATTTATAGAAAAGGGAAGTGCTTAGCAATGTCCCAGGACTGCTGTAGGCAGTGGGGCAGATGCAGAGATGACTAAGTAGACTTTTACTCAGATTGAGATAACTCTTAGCTGTCTCCCAGGGTTATGGAGCCCTGCAGCTGGAGGCATTATGATTAGGTAAGATGTAAATCTTAAATCCTGACCATTTGTAGCTGGTAGAATTTAATAGCTTCTTTTGTTCAGAGCAGACTTCACAACCCTAATAGCTTGCTTCAATCCTAATATCAGACATTCCTTATCATTTTTTGGTGAAGGAATTTTT